TAACTTGGATGAACTACTTATGATGCCTACTCAAAAGTAAGAAATTCAAAAAGGCATGTTATAGTAGAAATTTTGTTAGGGACAATTAGTACGATGAGCAACATTTGTAATTTGGAATGTAATATATTTTTTACTGATGAAGTAGATAACATCTAACATATAGTATAATTAGCTGTTTTTTCTTGCATTAAATGAGTCTTTGGAGTAGTTGGGGGTCATAGACTTCACAAACTACTGCCTTAATAGAAATTCTTTCTTTTTCTCCCAAATTTATCTCACCGGTGTGGGAAGAATTTAGCTGACTGAATTATTCATCTTTTCTACCTCCAGTCTACATGTGTATGGAAAAGTCTGTGTAGACTTTCAGATTGATGCAGTGATGAATTATCCGTCAACATGGTAATTTATTCTTTTGATACCAAACATAACTTTTAAGAGTCTTGGTAGTGTTTTGGTTAGTACATGCTACATTAATTGGGGTTGAGTGGCCATTAATACTGACCTAGATCTTGTATGTTTATGGATATGTGCATAATAATGATATACTATTCTTGGACAATTATTGTGGCATAACTTAAAGAAGTAATTAGGAATTTGCTTATTGGATGGTAGGTCTCAAAACTGGTTTTTAGTGCTTTCAATGCCTGCCTACCCAAACTAGCAGTTCCTCAAGATTGGTTTCTGTCTTTGTAAAGGGCTCCATCTTGGGCCCCTGAGACTGTCAATAGTTCCCCCAATGCTACTCCCCCCAACTTTAGGGGTATGAAACCTCAGTTAAGACCACTGACTCTGTAATAGCAGGTAATACGGCATCGAAACTGTGTGAGGCATCCAAGTATCCTGTTAGTGAGACAAATAACAGGACACCTCACATGGCTTTCCCCTGTTGTCATCATATGCAGTACTTGTTCCTGCATGTGCATGAGGTTCGAGCCATGGATCCGGAGGGTCTTAGCGAGACACCATCATCATCATTATGGTACCGGGCAAAGATCTGGACCTCAAGTTGGTTGGATAGTGGTTCAGCATTAAATTCAACTATGGAGTGAGTAGTCCAGGCTCAATGTGTGTTTGTAGTCACATAACCATGTGTTGTGCTAAATGGTGTTGCAAGTCCTGAACAAAGGTTTAGGGAGTGATGAAAGAGAACCTTGTACTTTTCCTGCATCAACGAGGCATGAGATTTTGCAGTCGGATGCTCATGTGTTGGTTAATGTCGTTGCAAGTCTCGAACAAAAGGTTTAGAGAGTGATGAAAGTGAATCTTGTTCATTTTCCTCATCACTTTTGCAGTCACATGATCATGTGTTGTGTTTATGGTGTTGCAGGTCTCGGACAAAGGTCTAGAGAGAGATGAAAGGCCAACTTTGTACTGTATTCCTCTGTCAATGACAAGTGAGACTTTGCAGTCACATAATCATGTGTTGTGTTAATGGTGTTGCGAGTCTTGATTAAAGGTTTAGATAGTGATGAAAGTGAACTTTGTATTATTTTACATAATCAGTGACAAGTGAGACTTTTGCAGTCGCATGAATGATCATGTGTTGTGTTGTGCAGGTGGTGAAGAAAGGTTTAGAGAGTGATGAAAGTGTAACTTTCGTGCTATTCTTTTTTCCTGCACCAAAGTGACAAGTAAAAGCCCATGGTTGCAATTTTGGTGCCTGGAAAAATGTGGTATACTCCAGGTGAGTTTGATGGCAGTTCAATACACAGAATATGGATATGATTTGAATAACCCAGGAACAATCTCTGTTTTGCAGTCACATGACCATGTATGGTGTTCGTAGTCGAGGCTCGGTGAATGATGAAGTAAATAAAGCTCGTCCTCTTTTCCTGCATCAGTTACAAATCAGAGGTACCTGAGGCTTGAAGTTAATTTGATAGTATCTCGTCATTGAATTCAAGTATGAATGGAGTAGTAGACTTAGTCCAGGCAACAACGCCTGTTCACGTGTAATCATGGATGGTGTTGCAAGCCCTGAAGAAAGGTTTTGACGGTGATGAAAGGTAAAATCCTTGTACCTCGGTCCTTCATCAATGGCTTCTGACAAGGAAGTGGGTGCCTCATCATGACAAACTTCAGAAGCAATTAGTACATGTCCAATTTTAGCTTCCATGAAACCAAAAAAAAAAATTTCTGTGTGATTCTGCGTAATCAATGCTGCTGTCTTCTTGCAGGATCAAAGCTTCATGCCACCATCAGATAAAACGAGAGATCTTGTAGAGAGAGACAGCGGAGGTCCGATCCTGCCTCTTCAACGGGGTCCATGGCTTCTCGTCTCTCTCTCTCTCTCTCTTGCTTAAGAGACAATTCTCTGGTATGCGAGAGATGGAATTATGCGCGTTGCGAACTCCACAGGTTGGCATTTGCTGTGACCACTCTCCTTTTGCCTCGTATGGCCTTTCCGCATCACTCTTGTTCTTTTGGCTTAATCCTAATATGCATATTCGTATATAAAAGAAAAAGCGTACACTTATTCATGTCATGACATCATATACCTTTTAAGTTGATCTCATAAAAATAAATTAAATGCACACAAGAATCAATTAAGTCATTGACATCTATATTATTTGTAGTGAGGAATTGCTTTATATTATAAAATCTCTCCCATTTTATTGCATATCTAGATCAAAACTTGTTTATTTTTCTCATTTCTCCGATAGTTTCATCAATTTACTGCTGTTGTTTCCTTAATTCAGGTGTCTTGGTCCACCACATCCTATATATCTGGTACTGTTGCTACGTATTATTATTATTATTAAAATTCCAATTAGCTTAATTAGAGAGGATTCCATTTCCATCATTCAGGTGTCAGGTACATGCTGCTATACAGGTATGGTTGACCATGAGATTTCCTTCAACCTAAATCTACAGTATGTGTTGCATCTACCAATGAGCAGAAACCATGATTATTCACTTTTCCTTTAAATCGCTCATGCAGCTTTTCTTTTTCCTTTTATTTGTGTTTTTAACTCGAGCATGATGACCTGCAGATCTTATCTCCACTCAATGATTTCCACCAGCTTTTGATCTGCGGTCCTCAGTCCACTGGTGCCTTTTCGACCACATGCATCGCACGTGCATGGCGGTCGTCGGTCAACGCTACTGCCGATCTGATGATGGCATTTCCTGCCCTACGTACGGCCTTCCCATCATGCAGCGTCCACGCACACCGGCGGATCACGCCCGCCGTCGGTACCGGAGACGAGCGACCACAAAAGAGAATTAGGGCCCCACGTGAGTCGTGTGGTTTTTAGAGAGCGGAGGTGACGGATGGGTTTCCGCTTCAGTAATTAATGAGAAAGATACGGGTCTTCTAAATGATGCCGCGTTGGGTTGACCGAGGGAGGTGGGAATTAAATGCTGACCGTGTGATGTTGGGGTCACGCTGCGGATGCCGTCCACGGCATGGGCCCGACCAAATTAAGACGGTCTCGGTGGGTACATGGGGCGGGTGGGGACGAACCGGCGTTCTCCCACCTGCTTAGGCCTTCCGATCGTGAACGGACGGTGATCGAGACGGTGGGGCCACCACGTCGCTAGAGGTGGAAGGTGGTCGGGTTTAAATATGGGGAGGATCGCGTGGGCCCGCCCGAGTATTGCTCTCTTTCGTGGGAACAGCGGTCAGTCAGTCCTCTTCTTCATACGTAATGGAACCCTCTCTCTCTCTCTCTCTGGCACGGCTTTGGGAGAATTGTTTCAGTTCATCTGCATCACAATACCAAAGGAAAAATGAAAAGCAACGGCAGCCAAGTCGAAGACATATGCGACAGAATGTGGCACTCTCAGAATAATACAAAAATGTCTTCAGCCTTCATACCATTTCCATGCGAATTTTTCAGCACAGCCACATGCATTTCCCAGCTAGAAAGAGCCCACCCACCAAGTGTTCGACAAATCGATGGGAGAAAGATTTAATGCTCTTCCATCATCGTCGATGAACAGTTGAGACTGATTCGTGAAACAAAACAGGACAACAGTAGCCATTCTCACACTCACAAGTAGTCGATCGGCAAAGCTAAATCTGCTCTCAGGACTACTCAAATCTGTTGTCTTTTTTGATCAAAGAAGAAGAAGAAGAAGTAGTAATAATGCTGTTGCTGGGTTTTGCAGGCCACATGGGAGGAAGAAGACAGAGGAGTGCTCTGCAAGGGACAGCAGCAGCAAAATCATGGCTTGCAGGCGTGCGGGAACCTCAAAATGAGGGGTGTTATTTAGTGTCTCGAGGTTGGAGGAAGCCTCCTTCCTCCACTAGTAAAAACAAGCACTTTGAATTGAATACAGCCAAACTGGCCATTTTGAGTGGAATGAGACTTGAGCCTTCATCAAGGAAGAAGATTCAAGTTGGGACCATCCGCTCCACAATCTTAAAGCTTTTAGGGTATCCAAGTTTTTGCTCCCTGCAAATAATAATAACCCACACCTATGTACATACATATTTATAACATGTCCATATGTTAGTTGACTAATCACTGGCCATACATTTCGTTTGACTCACTTTATCTGCTCATCTTAAGGTTTAGGTGGAAGCTACAGGCTGCTCTGAGATGTCAACATCATGATGGATATTTAGAGGGCTAAGAAATCTGGTGACGGCTGATGGATGATCCAATTACATGCCTTGGGACGAAGGGGGCTGTCACGGTTCGCTGTACCAGATGATGGTAATCGAATTAGGGATACGTGTTTGTCCGAGAATTGCAAGGATGTGGATTCGACAACTTAATTGTGACTCAAATCAAATTCATCATCGGCATTAAGGTCTCATTTTTACCTATGTCGAAGCCTGTCAGATCAGATAGCTACATGCCATCTACTGTTTCCTGTGGCTTAATGATTGCTATTTCCATCAGATTGCCTTTTTGACCCATCACCATAAAAAGAGAGTCCAAAATTTCATGTCTGGACTCACCTCTCTCTCTCTATAGCGAAAGAGAGCAGTGACTGAACTAAAATCTAGGGAGGAGGGAGTGGGGAGGCATTGCATTCAAGTCTATCCATTAGATAACAGGAACAGAGATTTCATTACCAATACCAATACCAATACCATGTCAGCTTGTGAACATAGCCTGCTGTTTCTGCTAACAGGTACAGAAGCCATAGGTCTGACTCCCTCAGTGTTCGCACTGATGAGATGAGTCTCTTCGCCTACAGCGAGCAGCGCTGCAGAGTAGCAGAGAGGAGTTGACACCATGAAGAAGAAGAAGGCATAGTAAACTCACCAAACCAGCTGTACATCAACAACACCTATTTTAAAGCTATTTTGATGATGAAGCAACTGAAAGCCAAGAAAACTCTCCAGCTTCTTGCTGCACTAAATGCTAAGGAGATCTGACGGTGGTGAATTCGAAGCTGGTTGCTGCTGCTGCTGCTCATCCTTGTTTTCCTTAGCAGGTGACTCCACAGGGGCGGCCGGAGGTGGTGGTGCAGACACATTGCCACTGGACGAGTCTTCTCCCTGTTTCAGCGGCGGCTTAGGGAGCTCGGTGAGGATCTGAACGACCTCCCTCATCGTCGGCCGCTCCACGCTCTGCTCCTCCACGCAGAGCATCGCGACGTAGAACACATGCATCGCCTCGTGGACGGGGAGGGTCGGAAGCCTTGGGTCCAAGATTTTGGTCACCTCCTCCTTGTTCGAGCCCGTCACCTTCCTCACCCACTGTACGATGTCGACGCCGTCACCGAATTCACCGACGGGCTTCCTCCCGGTCACGAGTTCCAGCAGCACCACACCGAAGCTGTAAACATCGCTCTTTTCGTCCACTTTGAGGGTGTAAGCATACTCTGTGGACCAAAACAGCAGGATGCTGAGGAACAGTATCAACATGTTTGAAGTAGCTAGCACAGATTAAAATATGAGAAACCTTTCATCAGTATCATTGGATCTAAAAGAATTGAGACATGGATCCATTCTTTCCATAAATTAATACTCTACTCTCCCTCTTGCATGCATCTCCGGATGACAAATGGTTCGACACCAATTCATGAGGCTCTTTTAAAACATTTTTTGTTCCATCTCAGTCTATCTAAAAGCTCATGCGTATAGACGAAACATGATCTATATCTTTACACTCCCAATAGGGAGGAAGGAACCAACCAAAAATTGCAGATAGCATCATCCCAAATCCAAGACTAGCTCACAGATCAACCAACGATGGCTACATATATAATCTAATGAGGCAGATGATGATGATGATGAAGCTTTAACAAAGTAGTGAACAAGATTGTAAAGCTAACATGGATAGAAAGAAAGATGTTAATTGTTCATTCATGCATAATATGTATGACCAAGCTTTTATCAGGAGAATCGAAAGCAATTGGGCGGAGGAGAAGGAAGAGAACCTGGAGCTATGTAACCATAAGAACCGGCAATGGCGGACATGCACTCGGACGTGCCCGTGTCCTGCAAGAACTTGGCGAGCCCGAAGTCGGCGACATGAGCTTCGAAGTTGGAATCCAGGAGGATGTTGTTGGACTTCACATCCCGGTGGAGGATCAGCGGGGAGCAGTCATGGTGGAGGTAGCACAGACCCTTGGCGGCCTCCACCGCGATCTTGTACCTCGTGTCCCAGAGCAGGTGCCCGCCCTTCTTGCCATGGAGAACCTCCCCGAGGCTGCCGTTGGGCATGTACTCGTAGACCAGCAGGTTGGTCTCGTGGTTGGAGCAGAAACCCAGCAGCCTCACGATGTGCCGGTGGCGGATCCTCCCCAGAGTCTGTATCTCGGCGTTGAACCCGTGGTCGTGCGACGATCCTCTGCTCATCGCCGGAAGCCTCTTGACGGCAACCTGTTCGCCGTCGGGCATCACGCCCTTGTAGACAACCCCGGCCCCTCCCTTCCCGATGATGTTCTCCTCCTTCAAGCAGTTCAGCACGTCGTCGCACGTGAAGTCCAGCCGCTGGAACGCGGTCAGCCTCCACGCCCGGGCCTCGCTGGCCCTCTTCAAGGACCGAGCCTTGATGATGGCCGCAATGGCGAAGGCAATGGAACAGATGAGAAGGCCGATGACGAGCAAGAGCTTGAAAGAGGCGGAGAGGGCGCCTTTGGCGCGGGCGGTGTGGGAGTCGTCGGAGATCCCGGGCCGGCACGGGCCGAGATAAGGGCCGCACAGGTCCGGGTTGCCGACGAAGGACGTGGCGTTGAAGTAGCTAAACTGGCCGGTGCTCGGCACGACGCCCGATAGGTTGTTGTAGGAGAAATCCACCGCCGTCAGGCTCTGCATCGTCGAGATGGCCACCGGGATTGGGCCCTCCAGATGATTCCTCGACAGGTTGAGGTAATTCAAGATCCGCATGGCGGCTACATCCGCCGGGACGTCGCCGGACAGCTCGTTCCTGCTGAGATCCACGAAGGTCAGCAGCTTGCACTTGCTCACCTCCGGGGTGATCGGGCCGGAGAAGCGGTTGCTGCTCAAGTCCAGCTTGGACAGCTGCTGCAGCCTTCCGACCTCGGGCGGAATTTTGCCGGTGAAGGAGTTCTGGTTCAGCAACAGCTTCTGGAGGCCGGAATAGTTCCCGATGGACGGCGGCAAGGGGCCGGCGAGCCGGTTATTGGAGAGGCAAACCTGTCCAAGATTGGGAGAAATGGAAGAGCTACCGGTGTCGGGGAATCCGCCGGTGAGGTAGTTGTCCTGGAGCTCCACCTGGGACAGATTCGGCAAGCTGAGGAGGCCTTGCGGAATGGTTCCGTTGAGGTAGTTGTCGCCCATTCTGATGCGGCTCAAGGATTCGCAGCGTCCGAGGGACTCCGGTATCTGGCCGAAGAGGAAGTTGCCGAGGGCGATCAAGGTTTGGAGCTTATTGCCGTAGCAGAGGTCCGGGGGGAGCGACCCGGTGAGCTTGTTCGACGAAAGGTCGAGGAGCTGAAGGCGGCCGTTGGTTCCGAGACGGCGAGGGATGCTCCCGGTGAAGTTGTTCTCCCACACCTGGAGCACCTCGAGCTCGGGGAGGTCGCCCACGAACTCGGGGATTGCACCGAACAGCTTGTTGCGGAAGAGGTTGAGGAGAGTGAGGTTGCTGAGCGCGGCGAAGCTCGGCGGGATCTCGCCGGTGAGGGCATTGTTGGAGAGGTCCATGGACTTGAGGCTGCGGAGGCGGCTGAGCTCCGGTGGGATCTCGCCGCCGAGGCCGTTCACCTGGAGGAAGAGGGTGTCGAGGTTCCGGAGGTTGCCCATCTCGGGCGGGATGCGGCCGGAGAGGCCGCAGTTGGCGGCGTCGAGGCGGAGCAGCGTGGAGAGGTTGCCGATCTCCGGCGGGAGACCACCGTCGTAGCTGTTGTAGTAACCGATGTAGAGCTCCCGGAGCGCGGAGAGGTTGCCGATCTCCGGGGGAATGGGGCCGCCCAGCTCGTTGCCGGAGATGGCGAGATACTCGAGGAACTGCCAGCTGCCGTATTCCGGGGGGATGGAGCCGGAGAAGAAGTTGCCGCCGAGGTGAATGTGGCGGAGCTGCGGCAGAGCGGCCAACTCCCTGGGCAGGGGGCCGGTGAGGTTGTTATTGTAGAGGTCGAGAACGCGGAGGTCGGCGAGGCGGGCGAGGGGAGCCGGGAAGGAGCCATTGAAGATGTTGTTGGAGAGGTTGAGGTGGCGGAGGGCGGGGAGGAGGGCCAGTTCAGAGGGGATGGGGCCGGAGAAGGAGTTGGCAGCAGCGGAGAGGCGGAGGAGAGAGCGGAGGCGGCCGACGGCGGGAGGGAGGAGGCCGGAGAGATTGCGCCCGGAAAGGTCGAGGGAGACGACGGCGCCGGCGTCGTCGCACGTGACGCCAGGCCAGGAGCAGTGGTCGGTGGTGGCGTCCCAGGGGCCGAGGGCGGCGCCGGGGTCGGAAAGCTGAGCCTTGAGGGAGAGAAGAGCGCGGTGTTCCTCCGCGTAGCCAGCGCCGTCGTCGGCCGCCGTGGAGGGCGAGCTGAGGAGGGAAACAAAGAGGAGGAGGTGGTAGAACAAGAGCATGTCTTCGTGGTGGACGAAACTACTCACACTCAACGGCCACTATAGCTGGTGTGTGTATATATTAGCTTCTTTTGGCCTCTTCTTCTTTTTCTCTTCTTCCTCGTCTCGCGCTCGCAGTCAATTATAGAGCGCGAGGGAGTGGAGAGCATCGCATGTCATGTATGGATTTATGGATAAGTCCAACTAAAGTGATATTTTGCATACTAGTCCCTACTAGATTTAAGATTCAGTACATCATCCTTCCCTTCTTCCTTCTTATTTGCATATTGATTTGGCTTACTATGTTGCTTAAGAAATACATTAATTATTTGCTAATTGAAAATTAGATATAATTCCTCAAACTTTTCATGCCTTGTTCGATACATGCATCGTATCGTATGGCTATCAGCACAATTAAGTGAACAAAAAAGTCAGTCAGATTATGCAACTATTTTCTTGATTATGATAAGTATTTGTAAAGCTTTTGTCATAAAAAAATTGTATATCATATTTGCCTTAGTTAAATATTTACATGCAGAAATGCAGATCAGGTTGATTTCAAATATATATATATATATATATATATATATATATATATATAAAGGATTAAAAGATCAACATGAATGTAGGACAAATTGCATACTTGTCCCCAAATACCATAAATTCCCATAAAAAATAAATAAAACTATCCTAGTTATCCATTTAAGTATCATTAATTTCCCTCTAAAATCAATAAAATATGAACTCCTGTGAACACCCTTCAAAGAACAATTGAGGTAGAAAACATGAAAGAAATGGATAAACTTAAGAACAACAATGACATTTATAACTACAGAAAAGATGCAGACACTATTGATCTTTTGAGACCCTAACATATCATGAGTAACTTATGAATGCATGTGAAGAAACCTCGATCACAAGCGTATCACATCCTTTTCCATATATAATTTTTCTGGTTGAAGAATTATGTTGCAGCCTTTTAGAAGATCTGTTAGGCAGTGACAAGGAAACAATGGAGCAAAAGATTTCACCTTATTCTGATACGATGTACCTATTTGTGTCACTGCCGATAGCATGAAATTCAAATTTTGGAGAAGGAAAATGAAGAGAGAGAGAGAAAAGAGGAGATTGGATAAAAGGGTCGATGAGGCTTATGTATGTGCTTTAAACCCGAGGAGTAGGAGACACTGTGGCAGCAGTAGCAGCGCTGCTGCTGCATTCATCCACTACTGCAGTGTTTGGTGAAGTGAATTATTTTAGTGTAGGATGGTCTCAGGTCAAGTCTATCACTGCATGCAGGTGGTCCAAAATATGAGCTGGCCATGTAAGGGTTTGACTGCTAAAGTTTTACATGTGGAGTATGTGTGGTGGTATTATGTATGGCATTGAGGTACTCACTACTACTACTACTACTACACATCAGCAGGCAGTGGTAGTTCCTTGAGCAACAATGTATCAGTTACTTTCACATGCAAAAAGTAACAAAAACCTAAAGTAAAATGATTTGGTAGTAAAAAAAAATAAAGTAAATGATTTTTTTACTTTTACCACTGTTTGCATATTTTCTCCACTATGATTCAGTAAAACACATTGTGTGTGTGTGTGTGCGAGCGCTGGCTTGCCACCAGGAGAAGAAAATACCATGAGTTCGGCTGATTCTTTGAAAAGGCAGGGCAAGCTCAGTCCCGCAGACTGAGTTTACTGAAGAGGAAGACGATAAGAAGAAAAGGTAAAAAAAAAACCATGAGTTTACAACACCCACTTGTCCTTTCTGCTCTCTCTCTCTCTCTCTCTGAGACAAGGATACTATGCTTTGATACAAGCAAATAGACATCACGGGTTCCTCAATCACAGAACCTCCTCCCCCTTCAGTTTGAAGGGAGGGAGGGAGAGAGAGAGAGTATTGCAACTGGACCACGTGAGCTTTTTGATAACAGGGAAAGAGATTCTTTCTGCTGCTCCAGTTTACAAACTCTGCTCCCTCGAAGCTTTTCCCCACACAGTATTATTACCAGTCTAAGTGGTGTTACCAAGTCTGAGAGGGTTGGAAGATGTGTAATCAGCAGTCTCAGCGCATGGAAGCAAAACTAATGGCATCGGGAAACTACGCTTTGGTCTCGGAGGATGCAGTCCTTTTGTACACCCACTGCAGCCTGCCTCCTCCATCTCCATGGCTGACTACTGCTGCCAACCACTGGTCTTCCACAACCATTTCATCCCCCTAAGCACCTCCCCGCTATCAGCACTCTCACAACCTCCCCAGTACTGCAACAATCATGATTGGGCTATATTTACCTCGAAAGCCGCTTATTTTTACCATCCTAATCTTTGCTCCTCATGTTTTTTTTTGTTTTTGTTTTTTTGTCTGAATCAAGAGGAGAGAGACAGACAGGAAATGGATCATTGCCTGTCTTGACATTGACATGACATCCCTAAGGCATATACTCGTACACGTAAAATCCATTAACCACTAAAATGTCTTCTCGAAGATGACAAAGTTATTCTAAGAATTTTGACATGTTAGGATTATCAATGGATCAATATCTATTCCCCTATGAGTCATCAACCAGTATCTTATGTAGCTTTCACTGGATTTGCATGCAAATCAATGACACATCCCTCTCACCCGAACCCTAATGGTCATGTTTTATACTAATATCATTTCTGTTTATGATGTTACCATATGTATCTTATGCATATACGTTTAAGAATTTATCCATTTGGTACCCATTTCAAGCTAGAACTGGTCATTCTGATCCAAATGCTCAACTGTTTCAGTGATGGATGCTTGACAGCAAAGATTCCTAGAAATGATAAACTACTGCTTCCATGATTTTTTGCTGAAATATCTGATCAGCACAAATCTACAGACTAATTACACCTATTGCACAAAAGTACCTCTTGTACCATCTACTTAGAGAACAACTGTTTGTGCTTGTCTAAATACATAAAGAACACAGAGACATGAAAAGTTCAACCTGTTGGAATAATTTTAGGTCACATTGTCAAATAGTACTTTCATGTACTATTATTCTTTCGCTTGTTAGTAAGCGAAAAATCATGGAAAGAGATCAACTTTCAACTTTCGAATATTGTAGCCATAATTAAATCATTTAATCCCTCCCATCTAAGTAAATCTAAACTTGTTCCTTATTTGATTGTTATCCTAGCTAAACAAAGAAGGCAAGAGATGATTGTGTAGCTCATCCATCCAAGCTGAGCTATCATTTAACTCAGACCTAGTTACATTCATCCAAGACTCTCTAGTTTCAAAGAATTAAATTTATGACTGACAGAGTTGACACCCTAAATACAAACAACTCAAAAAGATGAGAATGGTTTGGAAGAACTCCTAAACAACTCTTTGTTTCACACCAGGGGCATGTGGTAAAACACAAACACACACAAAGAGAGGAATAGCGTGTGGTCCTCAACCACATGCTAGAGCAGATTGACATTGCCTAATGCATGTACATGTTCCACAGGCTGGAAATGGTGCTAAGGGTGCTTCCATTGAGCAAAGCAATGGGGTCACTTTCTCTCAGATGTGTGTTGCCGGAGAGATCTTAGCCATTTCCAATGGAAACAGGGGGACAATAAGCATGAGAGAAGCATGCCACAACTGATAATATTCCCCTGCCCCAGAAGACGTCAAAGGCAATGTTTGCATTTCTTACCGTCCTACAGAAATAAGGTTAAGAGAAAGAGAAGAGAGAGAGAGAGAGAGAGAGAGATTAAGAGAGGGAAAAAAAAAACTATGCAACAATGTAGCCTTATTCTAATATAGAACACATGCGAGCCAGAGAGAAGCATGCTACAGCCTGATATATTCCGCTGACCCAAAGGAGACAAAGCAACGGTTGCATGTCTTACCATCCTATAACAATTAAGACAAAGAGAAAATGTAGATAGATAGATAGAGAGAGAGAAGAAAACTACTCATCTTAATATAGCAATGTCTTAATACGGAGAACATACAGCAGTTAACGGTGTAAAGAGTACACAAACCAACAAGTTTCAAAGAAGCAGTTGGTTGCTCAAAAATACAAGGAAAACAAAAAGGCAAATCATAAGTTCTAATCTGAACATAATGACACCCTTTTAGTATGTACTAAATTCATTTCAAGCTACTACAGTTTGGAGAAAAAAATCAAACATTTATTACCCTTTTTTTTTTTTGATGGCTTAGAGAAAACATGAACAATTTGGATTTTTTTTCCACAACATTCAAACTCCTTAAAGCTCTTCCAATGTATATGGAAAAGCAACTTGCCACCTAGGAAAACCTATCGGCGTATTCATGTTCTTCCCTATCTAAATTTTAATAAAATATCCACATTGTCTCAGAGAATAATTTGTGGAATTATCTGAGATCATGCAGACACCTAATCCATCAGAGACATCAGTAGATCACATAACAAGATATCCAAATATTTTCTGCCTTGTTACACAAACGAAAAGATCAATCTAAACTGACTAAATTCTTGAACTTCAATGAACCAGAAAAGGTCATTTCTCTGTCTTGTAAATTTATATTCAGATCCAAGCCAGTAAAATGAATTTATTAAACAGACGCTACATTCTATAGTCATTTCTATTATCATCAGAAAGTCCACTTTAGGATACATAATCTTAGGATAAGCGTACAACAAAAACACCTTGACCTCAGTGATGAAAAGTAAAAGAAAACTCTTACACTAGCTCTTCCCTTCCTGCAGAACAAGAGCAACTAGAAAGAACTCGACCAAAGTGTGAAGTAATTAGGTGGTGGCTGGACTATTTGAGCCTTGGACTTGGATACATTTCCAGTTTGCAAGCTATCAACTATTGTTTCCTATGTCTCAAATGGCTCAATCTCAGTGATCCTCTCTGGGACTACTCTTCCATTGATCGACAAGCATCTTCTCTACAGCAAAGCCCATTTTCACATAAATCTGTGCAGACATATGTGCCTTGACCAGTCTTAAGGATCCTTCTTCTGAACCCTTTTTCCCTGGTACTGATTCCACTAATTCCTCAAACACAACTTGGATCTTGCCCATTAAGCAATGTCAGAGACCACGACATGGTCCTATGAGACACATCAAATGTTGCCAGGACAGAACGAGAAGAAAACTCAACGCTTTATTCTGGTTGAGCTTGAGTTTCAACTTGTCACTAGGACATGCTGAAGCGGATGAGATGAGGGATGTTGGGCCAACTATGCACAGTCAGAGAACAGGTTTGTGGTTGGTGCGAACCGTGACAAACTCCAGCTATGGTTAGCAAGCCCGACACCAGAGGGCGTTTTTTCGGACGACTACAGTTGAGAGGAAGGAGGAGATAAATTGGCTGCCGAAGACTAATGGACTTGGCACTCTTCGCTGTCATCACTGAACCATCCGACAGGATAACCTTCTTGAGTGCACCAGCTTCCACATCATGCTGCATAGTGGTGACAAACAACAAAGCTTGTTACGTCTCTAAGAACATCTACAGGACCATTGAACTTGTATACTGCCATGAGAATAATATGATCTTAGGAAGGAAAGCAGACCCTTTGGGGTTTTTGTTTCAATATTCAAGTAGTGACACTTTATCATGTATCCACCAAACACAGAGGAGAGACATACAAAACAATGCAAATTGTCTAAAGGAGGAAAGAATAGGCATTCTTGTGGAGCAATCAAAGTAAGATTCATTTTGACCATTAGGAGGCATAAAGGTCATGGATTGTGAATTTCTATATGGCATGTGCAAATTTAAGAACAACTTCCAGAGTAGATTAAGATTTCTGAAGAAACCAAGTCCAAAACAAAATCCAATAGGAGGTTACTAGATTCACATATGGATCTACACCCGGGAACTAGGCATACATGACAGTTGTATCTAATAACATTCTTTTAATAATAAATGGTTAGCCTTAGCTTGCACTACATATCATCATAAACAACTACCATGCTGAAACATTTTTGTTTACAATACACAATCTAAATATATTAATATTAACTTACTATATCATATTATGAGATCATAAATGGACGTAGCTATTTTCATACCTGTGTTCAATAAGCTTTTGGATACAGATCAAGACTGCTAATTTCCTCTCCATATCATAGTGAATCTTGTTTCCCAGGAATTATACCCTATGTCCAGTTATCAAGTTCTGTTGTCACCCCTAATTAGTTATGTAAGTATGATCCTAATTCATAATTGCATTTTCTTCATCTGGTTCTTATCAAACGAGAGCAGCTGATTAAAGTAAACATTTTCATCACTTCAGCTGCAGAGAAGTGAAGAATGCTCAACTCTGCATAGAAAAATAGGAACTACGACAATTGCTTAGTGTAACGTAATTTAAAACATCGAATGTTCTTACCGGCAACGAGAGCCTCAAATCGTCCCTATCTTGGATCCACAGCTCCATTGGGCTGGCGATCTGAACATGGTGGCAAGAGCGGCGAAACCCTGGCATCCGGCCTTCTCCCAGTCTCCGCGATCCCGCCGGACATCTCACTCCCTAGGGCGATCACGGCGCTGGTCGGCGACACGCAGGTGAGCCTTCTGATGACGATGTGCTGGCTCGGCATCCCGTAGGAGATGCCGTACTCGTCCCACCCGCTCTTGATT